TACATCAACATATTATCCCTCTGTAACTCTACTGCAGTTAATTTTATTAGTATAATTAGTATAATAAATATTAGTGATATTTTTATTAATATAATACATGCATTAAAAATGAACTGAATGATTCAGTGAACAAATCTTTTTCATGAATCATTTTAATGAAATGATTCTAATGATTTAGTTCACTAAAATGAACTGTTTGTCCCATCACTAAAGTCAGAAAGCTTGATACATTTTTTTTTAGTGGGGAATAAGCAGTGGTGGGCAGCACTAATCCAAAAATTAGCTCCGCAATTTCTAAAGCGCTTATGAAAATATTTAGGTCTGCAACTTCAAAAGCGCTTATGTCATAGAAAAACTAGCGGAAACTAATTTTAAAGCGCAAGTCCAATTTGGCACTCACTAGCTGGCAATAATTCATGTACAATATATGCAAAACACTGCCTAAAAGTGGTGTATGAACTCTTTTACAGTTTAATACTACAACCGCCGATTGCTGGGGATGTGATTTCCTGAAACAGACCTTTGGCTCCTGGTGTAAAAATTAAAAAGTTGTTGAGGATTGCTAGTTCGGCTGATTCTTTGTCTTTTTCTTTTGTTTGATGTAGATTTTTCATTAAAGAAGCATCAATAAAGTAATTTTAAAACTGTTTATTGGAAAACTGAAGCGATGCATTCTGGGTACATGGCGGATTTGATTTGTGACCGGAAACGAAAGCACGAAGTACAGGAAACTATCTTCACTTCAAAATAAGAGCTTGGATTTTAAAGTTTTCCATGTAGTTGCTCCAGTTGACCACTAGATGTCAGTCTTCTTCAGCATAACATCTTTAAATCATTTCTGCGTCTCAAACCCCGTTGGCCGATTGCTTCGACCAATTACGTCAAGTATTGAGCTCCAGCGTTTAAACTTTATTATTTTTTTAAGGAGCTCCGATTGTAAAGTAAAATAAATCAATACATAAAAATTTTTAGTATGGATTACAAACATTAACTGTTTTGCTGGGACAGGGAGTTCTAAACATTGCCTTCCTGCTACGTAAGCAGATACAAAGCATTGTGGGAAATGAGAACCATGACCGAAAGCATCAGTCAGCAAGGATGTATACCTTCCAATAACTGTGTTTATCTGGGAGGGGTGCTGTTGGATAGATCACGTGTGTTGTGATTCATTGACAGCCATACCTTCTGCTGTTCATGATAATGATGACTGTTAGATAATTAGCTATAAGCGGTACTGCATTTTAATTTTAGAAAGTGCCATTCCGCTCATGAATTATAAAAATGAGTAAGACCGCTAAACCGCAAACGAAATATTTAGGTCCGCAATTAGCGGTTTTGCGCTCTAGCGGGCTGGTGCCCACCGCTGGGAATAAGGTTACATGCCTACAGAAGGATGTGTTATTTCACTATTTGTTATCTTTGGCACAATCAAACCTACTTAACAAATTGATAATAAGTATTCTTCACCCCTCCTGTCTGGTGCTGTCCTGTCTGCAGGGTGATCCTGCGCTCGCCGTACGTGGCTGCAGATTGCCTGAAGAGGAGTCAGTACAAGCAGATGGTCGGGAGGGCTGGTCGAGCTGGGATCGACACTGTGGGAGAGAGCATCCTCATCCTTCAGGAGAAGGACAAGAATATGGTAAGTCCTGTCTTTAGAGATCTTTACAAAGAGGGATGGGAAAGTCCTACAATTGAACAGAGATAGCTTTTTGCAGTTTTTTACATTCCATTCCAGCTTTATTTATAAAGCACCTCAAAAACTACACAGTTGACCAAAGTGCTGTACAGAATAACCGGAAATAAAAACAAATAATACACAACCAATAACAGTAATTGTAAAAAAACAACACTTCAAACTCAGCTAAAAGCCAGTGAGAAAAATAAAATTTAAAAGAAGACTTTAAAACGTGAAGAGACTCAGTTTGTCAGTTTGATACATTATGGTAAACTATTCCAGTTTTGGGGCAGCAACTGAGAATGAGCGGTCACCTCTCATCTTCCTCTATATTTTTGTTCCACCCAGAGGAAGCAGGTAGAGTGAAAAAAAGAAGAGGGCCAAGAATAGATCCCTGAGGTACTCCACACGTGAGGGGCGCTGGAGAGGACTCAGCAGATCCACCACGGACACAGAAACTTCTGTCTGTTAAATAAGATCTGAACTATTCTAAACCTCATCCTCAACCGAAAAAGATTAATAAGCTCAAACTAATCAAAAAAAAAAACAGCAGATTATGTAGTAGAGATAGAAGGGCCAGAGGGAGGTGCACTAATGTGGACCCTAATGCTAGTACCCCTGTTAAGAAAAAGGCTCAAAATATTTTCACACACCTCAGTGGAGCTCTCAAGACAGACAGACAAATTTTAAATGTTGCCTTGTGTTTGTTGAAATTCCTGTAATAACAGAGAGCATGCACAAAGTTTGATTTGAGGAAACTGCAAAAAATGTGTCATTTCAGTTGGATGTACTGATGAAAAGATTGTTTATTTCATGAGAACAGCTGCTTTAAACTTTAAAAAGTGTCAAACTTAAACACACAGAACAGTTGTAATACAAGTTCAGATGGATCAGGGTTAGGCTTTAGAAACGAATGAAAAACTAGATCATTTGCATTTCCTGCAAAAATGCAATGTGAATGCTTAACGCCAAAAGACTTTTTGCTGAATAGCTAAAAAAAAGCTGAAACTAACCTAAAAATGACTTAAAAATAGCTTAAATTAGCACAAAAACAAAGAACATGTTTGCTGAATTAAGCAGCTGAAATTAGCACAGAAAAGTGAATTAGGTGGGAAAAAAGCTCAAATTACCTAAAAAGTAGCTAAAAACAGCTGAAGATAGCAGAAAGCAGTTGAAAGAAGCATCAAAAGCTTAAAATAGCCCAAAGGTGAAAGAAGCACAAAAACGTTGAATAGCAGAAAAGATCAGAATGATAAAAAAAAGCTCAAATAAACAAAATAAAAGGCGAAGGATGCTAAAATCAGAACAAAAAGCAGAAGGCAATGGGAAGTCCCTGTGAAGATAGAAACACAGTACATGTGTGTGTATTTGTGTTTGTAATTTCTGCTTTTGGAACACATTTCTAAATTATTTCTGATTTGATATTTGTATCAATAAATATATTACTGCAATAGTTACCTTTTAAAGGGGACCAAATGTGCAAAATTCACTTTTTTCAGTTTTTTTTTTTTACTTACATTTGGGTCTGTACTGCTTCTAAAAACAATCCAAGCACAAAAAAATGCACTCAGAGGTATTTTTACTATAAGTAAATGTATTTTTCTGTGTCTTGAAATGACCTGCTTTCAAACACCACTACTTGTGATGTCACTAGTCGCACTCCAGCCCACCTCAACCTGAGCCCAGCTCTTCTCCTGGTAACCCAAGCAGAGACTCCGCCCACTTCTTCACAGGATGGTTCTGCTGTTTTAGAACAGTCATGGAGAACAGAGATGTGTGGAGTAATTTTATCTATTTTTAATTTTATTTTTGTTTTTGATGGCAGTGTTAAAGAAAGTTTGTGTAAATAATTTCACCATGAACTACTTTGGAAAAATAGTACTTTCAACTGAAAACAAACTGAACGTAAACTTCTGGCTGAGGGCGGAGCTAATGTAAACAAAAAGGCTGGGAGAGGGTTTCCATCTACTTATGCAAAGCAGCAGGTTCTGAAGAGAGCTGAAGAACAGGCTGAACTGAAATGGTGAAATTTCAGTATCTGAGATTAATTTTGTGATTTAAATCAAATGAACACGTTTTGTAGAGCCCACAGACAGATCCTAACTTATTCTACGACCCCCATATTAGGTCTCCTTTAATATTTGGAAATGTCAACATTAAAGTAATATTGTGATAATTAATCTAATGGTCAATATCTAACCAGTTAACAATCTATTTGTTGCTCTGACTTGTTTCTGTCTCTTTTGTTTTATTTTAGGCCAAAGCACTGGTTTGTGCCCCTGTGGAAAACTGTTACAGCAACCTGCTGCATGATGAAGGGAAAGGCGTGTTGAGCCTCATTCTGTCACTGATAGGATTAAATGTAAATTCTTCAAGGTTTTTTCTTTCTGCTCATGTTTTCCAAATCCTAACATGTTAGCATGAATTAAACACGTAGTTGCAACCACTACTCTAAAGTTGTGTTTGTTGTGCTGTTTGTTTAGTTTTGTCTTTTATTGTCTAGTAAGGTTTGATTTACTGGGACTCCAATGTGTCCGAGCTTTTTGGTTTGACTTGATTTATTAGTCCTGACCGGATGAATCAGAGCTAGTGGTCTTGTTTGTTGCAGATCAGCACGTCGCTGCAGCAGATTCAGGAGTTCCTGCGTGGAACGCTACTGTTTGTGCAGCAGCAGCAGCTGTGCATAGAGAAGAGCCTGTGGGACGTTGTGCAGCAGTGTGTCGACATTCTGAAGGAAAAAAACCTCATCACCATCAATACTGCAGGCCGTCTCAGTCCATCGCTGAAGATTACCCAGTTGGGGAGAGCTGCTTACAAAGGTAACCTCATCTCATGGTGTTAGTATATACACACATAAACAAAATTGTTGGTACCCCTCGTTTAATGAAAGAAAAACCCACACTGGTCACAGAAATAACTTGAATCTGACAAAAGTAATAATAAAAAATCTGTGAAAATCAACAAATGAAAGTCAGACTTTGCTTCAACAGAATTAAAAAAATTGTTTCCCAACAAAACCACCACTAAAGGGTTCTTCTGACATATTTCTTGTGTTTTTATATGGTAATCACATTGTAGTTAAAGACACAAATGTTTGTTTTCCATTCAGTGACAATTTGACAGCTCAGTATATCTTGCTTTAGTCTCTGTTCCACCTCATATTTTACAATTCTTGTTTTCAACATGACAGTGTAGGTTTTTATAAATGCGGAAAAATCTACTTCATATGGCTGTAAAAATTCAATCACATAATTTAAATTAACATATAGATTTAATAATCAAAGTTTTAAATTCTTAGGATAGCAGAAATCATACGGTGGTAAATTAAAACAATGGATCTGTCTCCGGTTGTCCTCAGGCTCGGTGGATCTGACCTACTGTGATGTTCTGTACAAAGACCTGAGTAAAGGTCTGGAAGGACTTCTGCTTAACAGCAACCTGCACCTGGTCTACCTGGTGACCCCCTATGACCTGATCCCACAGTGCAAGCCCGACTGGATGATTTACTTCAGACAGGTACACCGTCGCTGTCAGACGCAGTGTTTTATAAATTACCACAAAGTGATATTTGAGTAAAAGTACAAGTATCTTACCAAAAAATTACTTTACCAAAGTCTCCATTAGGAATACTACTTGAGTAAAAGTCTTAAAGTATCTGATATTTTTGTACTTGAGTATTAAAAGTAAAAGTATTGATTTAAAA